GCAAGATGGCATAAATGTTTGTTCACATATTTCTAAGTGTTTTATGGCCACACTTCACATTTAAATGATTCCATTTGAAGTGTGGATACATAACAGAGGCAGAGATGTAAGTCTTGTTTCTTGCTCCTAAAATGGTTCCTTGCCCTGGTAACGTTTATGGACGAATCCATTTTTCCACAGTGATTTGAAATGCTGCTCTTTATCTCAGATTAGTTTCTTGGGGTTAAAGCGAACCTTCTCCTGTGTACTTGGCCGAATTTGCTAGTCAGTTCTCTGAAGCCAGGCAAGGAATCAATTTTTGAGGTGGTTGGTCCTCTGCCCTCAGCCTCGGGTGAGGGAGACCGTGGCTCAGTCAGATTGTGGAGGCTGCAGAGCAGAGAGGCTGGTCCGTGGGCACTTGAAACGTGTGTTGTGGCAGGTAATAAAGAGGAAGAAAACCGCAATGCTAGAGACTAAACCAGTAATGGGATGTGCGTTGCTGGGGGAGAAGAGAGAAAATTATAAGGTAGGGAGCGCCTCTGCCGGTGTGTGTCACTAGTGCTTGGGCAAATACCATATTTACATGGTCTATGAAAACCAACCCCAGTGTTACTCACTGGCTTTGCTGCTTCAGAAAAGTCAGCAGGGTGGAGGTGTATGAAAGTAAAGTCTGTCCCCAGCATTTGTTAGCAGATAGCGCTAACTTGGGACATTTCCTTCTTTGTGGGGACCATGAATGAATGTGCTGTGATGGTGTCATGGGGAGGTTGGGAGGGATTGTCTGACAGCCTTGTTTTTACTTCTGATGCTGGTATCCGAGGATGATGAGCTCGGCCTTGGTCATCCCACTGTTTCTCACAGGTGACTCCTGCGTGGTGTGGTTGGGGCCCCTTCAAGGTGAGCCTGTGGCCAGGCTCTCTCATTCCAGCTACATGGCTCTTCTTTGCTAGAAGAGCATTCATGTTTTCTGGAACTTTCTGGGACTTGCTGGGGACTGTTGCTTCCTCCAGGATATCTTTAACCTGTGGAATATGCAGGATTTAGCTGCAAAGTCTGAGAGGCAGTATCTGGGATCCCTTTGTGCCATGCCCCCAGAACCCAGACACTCTGTCTCCTCTAAGTGACACCTCATTCTGTAGGTCTGATTTCCCACGTTTCCCATGGTGATCTTGTTTGACACATCAGAAAATTCTATTATCTAGTCTGCTGCTCTAGGGCTTAGACCACTTTAAAAAAAAAATCTTATTTTCCAAGGTTGAGGTGCATAGGAACTCTGTAAAATCTCATAACTCCTGAAAATGTGCTCAGTTGAACCAACTCCTACTTCGGCAGTCACTTGTACCTTATCCCTGTCTTTCTGTCCCCTGCTGTTGAAGGAAAACCTACTAAGGATGGTGATAGGTAACCATTGCTATAGTGCCACCAGGCGTTAAGTGGCTGAGCTGGGGTTTGAAGTAGGATCTGCCCAGCCCAGGAGCCTATTGATGGCAGTGCTTCATGGGTTGTGCTCCGGTCATTGGCGTGGAAAGTTTTTGAACCCATACCGGACCACCTTGCCCTTCCCAGATCTCCACTAAAGCAAATTCTCTCTACCTGTTGTGGAAAATGCCTTTGGCAGGACCAATTCTTGGCCTTTGGGTGTGGAAGGTGACTTTCAGACCCCCTAACCTTGTCCCAGTGTGGGTTTCTTCTCTTTACTGAGTGCCCTCATTAGGTGGTTGTGAAAATTGAGACCAGACTTGCCAGATGCGGATACTTTACGCGTAGAAAGTGGTTATCACGTGGCAGCTGTTACTCTTGTTAGTTTCCATGGTATTGTAGTTGGGTATGAATAGTGTGTCTAGACCACTCATTGTCCATGAACCTTGACTAAGCATCTAATGGGTTGGACCTCTGGGGACCCAAGGTGTGTGATGTGTTGTGCATCTTTAAGGATTTGTAAGCCAATTGCAAGAGATAGGTGGTTAATTGTACACATTCTGCAACTTATTGAGGGGTGGGCAAATCCTGGAGGGCTTCCTGGATGACATGCCTTTTCATCTGGGCCTGAAGAAGGGGGCTGGGTTTTATAAGACTGCAAGTTGGACACGAACATTAGAAAAACCCAATTCTGACCATGAATCCCAGCAACTTGTGGATAGGGTCAAAATGGTGCAGTTAAAATCATCCCGGAGAGTCTCTCAGGAAGGCCTCTGGTCAGAGGCTGCAGCCCCCAGTAAAGGGGCTGGTGATGCCTGGTGACACCAGGAGGGGGCATGACGCAGACATCTCAGCATAAGGCTCCTGTGTGTGGGTGGTGAAGTGCTCCCTCCAGCAGAGGCTTGGCAGAGGCACAGGGGGACTGAGCAGTCCGGGGCACCCCATGCAGTGCTGTGGCGGCGGAGGTGCCCTGCTGTGCACATGTGCTCTGCAGGGTGCTCCTGCTGCTTGGATCCAGTGCACATAGCTCATTAGTATAAATCAGACATGCGTGTCATGTGTTGCCACAGAACAGAAGGCTTACAGATAGTGTAGTTTCTCCAGAGAGGATTTTTCTGGGGTTGGGGGAGGGAGGATAGACAAGTGGAACACGGGGGGTTTTAGGGACAGCAAGACTATTTTATGTGCTACTATAATGGCAGACACATATCAGTACCATTGTCCAAACTCTGAGAGTACTCTGTACCAAGGGCAAGCCGTGATGTTAACCTGGGGGTGGTTACAGTGTGTCTGTGCAGGCTCATCATTCATAACCAATGTCCCCTATGGTGGGGAGGCTGTGCCGGGAAAAGGCGGGGGTACAGGGAGGGTGCACGGAAAAGCTCCATACGTTCAGATCAGCCATGGACCAAAAATGACTTTAAAAAATAAGTCTATTGAAGAAAAAAAAAATTCACCTCTTCCAGCCTCATGGAGCAACTCTTGCAAATGCATATCCTCTTCTTCCATCCTTATGTGAAGTTTGGACTGATAGAGAACCCCAGTGGGGAGGTGGCTTGGTAGGAAAACTCTGGATTTAAGCAGTCCTTGGAGTACAGGAGTGATTTCAGGTCGCTGGCCTCTGGTGCTGGGTTTCTTGAAGAGAAAAGCCAAATAGATCTTAGCCTGTCCTTGGTCTTTATTTTTCCCCTTTCATGGCCATGGTGTCATAGAACAGATTACTGGGTGGTTTGTGTGTGGCTCCCCACTGCCCCACCCCATTTTTCAGTTTAAACTGCATACATTGATGTTCTTCTAAGGTGATAATGCTCCCTGCTGCAGTGTGTAAGAGGCAGTGCTTTACCATAGCGCCATCCCATCCCCTCTGTCCTCGGAACATTCTGGCACCCCAGGGATTTGGGAAGGTGGGTGCTGATTTTGCTTCTCATACCTGAGGGAGAATGAGAGACTGGTATGAGCCTGAGAGCCAGGACCCAGTTACCTGGTCAAGTTTGGAAGGCAAAGTCCTGTAGACCCTGTTTCATGATAGGCATATGGGAATGGGTATTGTCCTCCTTTAAAGACCTTCCTTAAGTGAGTTGGGAGCTGGGCTCCCTTCTTGGGAAGGTACCTTGTAGGTGCTCAGTGGGTGTTTAAGGAGCACACACTCTGCAGCTTTATCTGCTTCGTGAGCTGGTTCCTGTCTCCCGGGGGCTGTGGGGCAGCTCAGCCCCTTTGGTTTCATTAGGCCTCAAACTCTTCCTAACCTTACTTCCCTCCTTCTTGATCTTGCCACCACCCTTACTCTTACCCTTTTAAGGTAACTGGTTTTTCTGTTTATTTATTTTTCTAATTTTTCAAATGTTGAAAGGTTGGAAGGATCATATGTGACTTGGATCTTACAACGTGTGGCAGGAGCTGTGCCCCTCTGGTCCTGGCTGTGGCCTTATTTCTGGACACGCCTTGTTTCTGGACCTCGCACACGTGTGACCTGGGTCTCCTCCCTGGCCCTCCCATCTTCTTCCAGTGCTGGTGTCTTCATGGCAGTGTCCCCCTGGAGTCTGAGAACTTGGTTTTGATCCGGTTATGGACTAATGTCCCTGTGAGGCCTCTGTAAAATCCAAGTTCTTCCATCTGCACATGTGACTGGTAGCAGTTACTGTCTCCTGGGGTCCAGCGCGGAGTTTAGGATGGGGGAGATTTGGATTCAAATTTTAGTGCTGTCAGTATTTAATCTGTTTGAGCTCATTAGCACACCCATAAAACGGCCTATCGTGGTTGCCACATGGCTCTGTGCACTCACTGGATGTGTAATTTTGGCTGTGAGCTTTCCAGCAGCCAATCCCAAGAGGGAAACAGAATTTCACAGGATTTGTTAGGGAGGGAAAAAATAAAACTGGGTCTCTCGGAGAAATCCAGAAGTTCTACATCTTGAGATCTGAGTGATAATGGTAAACAGCGTCTTTAATACGTGGATGGATTGTGACAACAGTTAAGTTTGGAGGTAGGAAAGTTGCATGCTTATTTAAAAACATGGTTTCCTATCAGTGAATGCTTTCCTAAGTTGAAGATCCCCACAGGAGTAGCACCTGTAGGTCAAGACTGTGTATTGGGGGGGCCCCACCCCTTTCTAGTGTCCCCTGTACTGAGAGAAGTCCATGTAGGAAAACTGGAGCTCTTAGGTTTTACTAAGTGTTTCTAAGGTTTACTAAGTGTTTCTATGTCCATGTGGAGCCAAATGGCACTTGATCAGCTCTCTCTTCTGTTGATAAACAGCTGTACCTGGGAATAGATCGTTGTTCAAAGCAGATATGGTCCAGTAGTAGGGGTTCAGAAAAGTGTGTAGAAGCTGCAAGACTGTCTTTTTCCGTAGCAGTGCAGAGTATGCTCCCTGAAGAGAGCCCTCCACACACCTCACTGTGCCCTCCCCTCCCGTTTTGTGTGGCTAATAAGTGATCAGCTGTGCTCATTGGGTCTTTCAGTCTCAACAGGAATTAATTTTGAAAGGAAAATGGAACTTGTCTAGATAGCTTGCCCTAAATAGCACATAATCCAGCTCGATGAAGGAATGGTGAAATGGGCGGGGTCTGCTGAGTAATCTCGACTATGCTTTCTTCCCTTAGGTGAACTTCGACAAGCCATCGTGGCCATGATGAACAGGAAAGACGAGCTGGAAGAGGAGAACAGGTATCCTGATTTTTCAGGCTTGAGGAATAGTCTCTTTGACATTAAACCTCCGGGACGAAGAATATCACAGATGAAGGAAATCTTGCTTTGACAAGATTGTGACCAATGATCTCCTTTTGTGTAGGATGTACCACTTTAGCATTGGGAGGGGATGAAAGCCTTCCAATCATGGCTCTACCTTAGAACAAACTAAGGATTTGGTAAAGCAATGTTCCTGAACTTTTTTTTTTTAAAGGAGACTCTGAGATACAATTCACATATTATGTAATCGGCCTATTTAAAGGGTACAGTTCAGTGTTTGCGCGCATGTACAGCTGTCTCCAAGGTCCACTTCTAGAATGTGTTCACCTCAAAAGCATCCCATACCTGTTAGCTGTCTTCCTCTGCCCCTCGCCCCCCAACACAAAGCAGGCTTTTGAGTAACCTTTTATTTGAAGGCCCGTCTTCCCATGTCCTGAGCACTCAGATACTTAGTTTTCTCAAATCAGGGATACCTAGGGCAAGATGGTATTTGACTTCTTTTTGGCTTGTTCAGAGCAAACAAGCCCAATTGCAGATAGTGAGAAGGTAAAGACTTTAATTGTTTTGGGTTCCCTGTTGAAAACAATGGTAGCTGCTTGCCCCATGTGAGCTCTGCTGCTCCCATCTGGTGGCCTTGACTATGAGCTTCTCAACTGTGACCTTGTCTTGGCCTCAGGGCAGTTGGTGGAGGGATTTGCCTGCAGTTGTAGGTTAGGCTTCCCGAGCCATTGTTTGTCTCCCTGGGGGTCAGGGGACATGCGCCCTTGGGCCTGCGTGTGTGCATTCCTGTTGCTTCCTTGTTCTCCTACTCTGAGCAGCAAGCAGGAATTAAGTGTCCACGGTGACAGGTAATCATGATTGTCCTTCATAAACCTTACTGTGGGCCCTGCTCGACAAGCTTCTTCCTCCTCCTCTATGAAAACACATAAAAGAAAAAGCATGATTTCTAAAACAAAAGATAATTTTTAAAAAAAGGAATCTCGAGACAGCACAATTGTCCAACTAAGAAACTTTAAATGAAGGGCTTGTAGATACTACAGGATTCTTTTTCTTTGCTCTAGCTGGAGCTGTTCTCTTGGAAGAAACTGTAGGTTTTGTCTTACCTTGTGAAGAACAATAGTTATAGTCAATTTCTCCTTCCAGTGGGGGAAAAACAGTCACACCATGTTTGTGTCAGGGGGTTGCAGGCCCCAAGAAGGGAATATTTTCAAAGCCCTAAAGGAACTGCGGACTTCAGAATTGAGTGATGGAATGGGGTGTGTGTGTGTGTGTGTGTGTGTGTGTGTGCATGCAAAACTCCCAGTCCCACTTCTGCTTATATCCTGATGTCAGCTGTACACTAGGTTTGGGATGTAGGGGCCCCAAAGTCAGTAAGCGCTCTCTGGAAAGATCCATTCGAGGTCCAGTGAAGTACAGTCAGAACCTTGTTTGGCTCACTTCTCGGTGGCTAATCATGGCTCTTTCTGGAACAGCTTCTGTCTTGTCTGCTTTACAAGGCAAGGATGACCGAGAAGTGAATGTTATTTGGAGTATTAACTCTCAAGCATAGTACAGAGCAGGATCCCTGCAGTGTGAGCCCAGGTAACGCTATAAAACACTAGGTCTGCCCGTGTCACCTGGAGATGGTGGACAGGATGCCAGTGTGCTTTGTGGGTAGAAGGGGAAGTGAGAGGAGGCCTCTGTCCATATTCTACTCTTTCAGCTCACGGGACACTTGGGGCCTGTCCTGGCATCTCTTCCCTGGTTAAATCTCTTCTCTGATTCAGCTGTGACAAAATGGTCTTCATTTCATGTGTGGCCTCTCTGGGTGGCATGCCTTGAAAGGAGCTTGCCTGGGGGTCTCTCCACTCTTTGCCTTTAATTTTGCTGGCCACAGCTATGGTGTGTGTGTGTGTGTGTGGGGGGTGCGCCACAGAACCTGGGCCATATCCTGGTTCTTCCTCAGAGGCACATGAGCAGACTTAGGTATCTCTGTAAATCACTTCAGATGAGACTGGAACACAGGTTCATATAGACCCTTTGTGGAAAATGAAGGGGTGTGTTTTGGTGCGGCCGTCTCCACTGGCCATGTCTGAACAGATGGCCCCTCTGCCCAGGTCTTTGCGGAACCTGCTTGACGGTGAGATGGAGCACTCTGCGGCCCTGCGGCAGGAGGTGGACACCTTGAAAAAGAAGGTGGCTGAGCAGGAAGAGAGGCACGTCCTGAAGATCCAGGCGCTGGCAAGGTAGGGGGGGGGGCAGAGGGCCTGACAAGTGGGTGTGGCAGCGGAGCTTTGTGCAAACCTCAAGCACACCCTTCCCTGGCACTATTTTTTTTTTTTTTAAGATTTATTTATTCCTGAGAGAGACACAGGCAGAGGGAGAAGCAGGCTCCATGCAGGGAGCCCCATGTGGGACTCAATTCTGGAACTCTGGGATTATGACCTGAGCTGAAGGCAGATGCTCAACTGCTGAGCCACCCAGGTGTCCCTTCCTTGGCACTTTAATCAACAAAAAAGACCAAAGGAGAACTATACATTTGAAATTTTAACTAATTACTGAATGATATACATGCATATGGTTCAAACTATAAAAAGTACACAGCATTAAATGATGAGTGAGTCCCCCTCGAGTGGGCAGTGGTCAGTCCAGAGATGTTCCACGCATGTCCTTTGTTTTGTCTTTTCACTTACCTCTCCTCCCTTCCTTTGACCTCTGTGAAACATGGTCCTTTATTCCACTCCCACTCACTGGATATCATACAGATGCTTCTGTACTGCTGTACTGGGGCCACTGCCTTTCCAATAGTTTCTGATCTCTCATCTACTCTAGAGTTGATCTGACCAGGATGCTGACAGCCAGGCATTGGAAGTGGCTTGTGATCATTTCCTAATACTGTTTGTAATGATGCCACATTCATAACCTTTGTGTTTGTCACTCTGTTCTATATTTGTTAGAAAAATTCCTTGAGGTAGAATTGCTGGGTCAAAGTGCAGTAGTTTTCTAAGGTAGATAGAGGTCAACACCTCCTCTGCCCCCCATCCCCAACCTCTGAGGCTGAGCTAACTGTCCCAGCAGGAGCAGGTGGGAAGGCCTGCTTCTACTCAGCTGTGCCTACAGAGGTCAGGCCCCATTTCTGGGTCCCTGGTAATGTAACCTGGTAAGGTGAAAAGTGGCATTGGCATAACGGTTTGCATCTGCAACTTCCTAATGAAGAGTACAGTTGAGTGTGTTCTTAGTGAAAAGCCATTTTATTTCCTTTCCTGTGATTTAGTTTATATCTTATTAAGGAAAGCTCACAATCTCAAGTCCCATAAAAATGTGGATTTTCCTGAATTTGTTCACATGCAAACATTTTTATGTACTGCACTTAAAATCTATAACTGTCATTTCTTAGTCTGCTTCTCTGAAGCACTTACATTTTATGTTAGTGGCTTTTATATGCCCAGATATGGCATTGCATTGAGCTAATGTACCACATTAAAATAATTCCCATTTGTTGGACATTTGAGTTCTTTCCTGTTAGGTAGGATAAACAGTTTATCAGTGGTTCTTTAAAGCTGCTTTATTTATTTATTTATTTATTTATTTATTTATTTATTTATTTATTTATTTATTTATTTATTTATTTAAGATTATACTTACTAATTCATGAGAGACACCCAGAGAGAGGCAGAGACACAGGCAGAGCAAGAAGCAGGCTTCAGGTAGGGAGCCCGATGTGGGACTCCATCCTGGAACTCCAGGATCACTCCCTGAGCTGAAAGCAGACGCTCAATCCCTGAGCCACCCAGGTGTCCCATATTTACTTATTTTTAAAGGTTTTATTTATTTATTCATTTGTGAGAGACAGAGAGAGGCAGAGGCCTAGGCAGAGGGAGAAGCAGGCTACCTGTAGGGGGCCTGATGTGGGACTGGATCATGCCCTGAGCCAAAGGCAGATGCTCAACCACTGATCCACCCAGCCTCCCCTAGGCTACTTTAAAATGAGGCCAGGATGGGGCTCCTGGGTAGCTCAGTCAGTTACGCAGCCAACTCTTGATCTCAGCCTGTGTTGGTCTCTGCGCTCAGCAGACAGCCTGCTTGAGATGCTCACTCCTTCTGCCCCTCCTCCTGCTTGTGCCTCTGCTCACCCTCTGGAAAGAATAAATCTTGGGGAAAGGCCAGGAGATGATGTCCTGTGGATGTGCAGGGAGTCCAGAGTCCTGTCATTCATAGCAGCATTACTGCCCTGGTTCTGCCCCGTGATGTGTGTGGCACTAATGGAATTGTTACATATATGTTCTCAAAAGTTGGCACAATGATCTATTTTTAATTAGAATTCTGCTTTCTTCATACTTGAAAATGACTTCTCAAGACCTCATGATGCGTCTCAATGCATCAGACAGTTGAAGGACAATGACAGGCACAGTACTTGGCATTTTCTCCACTGGACCACCATTTTGCCTTGGCCATGCCAGGGTTCTGTCATATAATTGTGTTTATGATAAAGGCTGAAGTCTGTAAACACTCTGGTTCTGCTTTTCATGGTCATCTGGGGGTTGTATTAGGGGTCTGCTTAGCTTTGAGTCCCCACTCTGTTGCTGGCAGATTATGCATCTCTGGGTGTTTGAACATCAGCAAGTGTTCATTTCCTTGTTGAGGAAATAGGATGATGATCTGCACCAGAAAGAACAAAATTCAAAAGGGCTTGCGGCTCTGGACATGAGCAGTTGAGTGTATTTTATAGTTAGTGTGTTTAATATAGGATAATTCTGGGGGAATTGTAGATCATGAATGGAATAGATGAACCTAATTTCCTAAGCAGTCTTTATTTTAAAGATTTTATTTATTCATGACACACACACACACACACACACACACACACACACAAACACACAGAGGGGTGGGGGCAGAGTCACAGGCAGAGGGAGAAGCAGCCTCCATACTCGATCCCGGGTCTCCAGGATCACACCCTGGGCTGAAGGCAGTGCTAAACCGCTGGGCAACCCGGGCGGTTTAACCCCATTTGAACAGTGGGTAGCTAAGAGTTGAAGGTGCCTGAAAGTTTGCAGAAAGAACACCTATGAAATTGCACACAGTTAAGCGGGAGACAAGAAGGACGCAAATGGAACAGCTGGATGTGTGAGTTTTTTTTTTTTTTTTAAAGATTTTATTTATTTTTTCATGAGACAGAGAGAGAGAGAGAGAGAGAGAGAGAGAGGCAGGCAGAGACACAGGCAGAGGGAGAAGCAGGCTCCATGCAGGGAGCCCGATTCAGGACTCGATCCTGAGGCTCCAGGATCACATCCTGGGCTGAAGGCAGGCACTAAACTGCTGAGCCACCCAGGGATCGCCTGGATGTGTGTTTTGATACAGCCCAACTGCTGACCTGTTCCAGAGAGTTCCTCTGTTAGTTGTTGGAACTCTCTTACTGCTCCTTGCCCCAGAAGGAGAGCTATCAGTGTTGCCGGATGGTAGAGGTGTGTGGTCAGTTGTTGCTTGTGAGCCTGGGGTGCGGTTGACTACGTGCCTGCACTGGGGCTGTTCTGTTCTCATGTCCTCTTGTGTTCAGGTGGCAGGTGTCACAGTGGAGGTGGTTTAGTCTAGTAGTTGGTGGCACGGATTCCAGTGTTGGCCTGTGGGAGTTGAATCATGGCTTTGCTGCTGCATTATTGTATGAGCTTGAGCAAGTGACTTCCCTTGTTTCCTTAACTGTAAGAGGAGGTTAAGAAAATCCTGGACCTCACAGTTGTTGCAGGATAAAGTGAGAGACTGTGTGTTGGCTCAGTCAATGTGCTTCATAAGTGCTCAATAAATGTTAATTATCATTATCTTTTTTTCTTGAGTACAATAATTATATTACTAAGAAACCTTATCTAATCAAAACCTGAATTTTAATTTGGCAATGGTGCAGAAAGAATTAAATGCTAGGCTATTTCAGACCCTAAAAAGTGAAATTATTTTTGCAGTGAGTATGGGAATATGCTGTGTGTGTTTGTACGTGTGTGCTATACTGGCTCTGAATGTTGTAAAACTGAAACACCGTAGGAAAAAATCAGCTTTTTATCACCTTCTTTTTTGCTCAAAATTGATGGCTTCCTTTGGTGCTGTCCTGGCTCAGCCAAGAATAAAATTGTGTAACCAGCTCAGTGCTTTCATGGCCCTAACTGGCTGCTCAGTCCCAGGGTGGAGGCATTAGTGTCCATAGCAATTCTAGGCCTGTGAGTCTCCCTCCCTAAAGGATTATTTCCTACTGAATTAAGAAAACTGAAGCTAGGAGTCAGGTGTTCACAGAAAGAAGGCCTTTACATGCGAACTACCTTTGAGAGAAGCAAGTGAGCAGGGTAATTGGATTATTGCTGGGATGTTTTCTGTTTTTTGTTGATTTTATTACTTAGCTTTTGCTTTGTAATAAATTTATTTCAAAGTCTGGTAGTTGAAAATACATGTTCATGATCCTCCACAATTCTGGGGCTTAGAAATCAGGGAATGGCTCAGCTGGGTGGTTCTCAGAGTTGACCATGAGGGTGTAGTCATTTGAAGGCTTGATTATGCCTGGAAGATCCCCCCCCCTTTTTTTTAATGTATTTGATAGAGCACACGTGTGTGCACAAGAGGAGCAGAGGAAGAATGAGAGAATCCCAAGCAGACTCCCTGCTGAGTGTGTAGCGTGATGTGGGGTACAGTCCCACAACCCCAGCTGAAATCAAGAGTCTGATGCTTAACTGACTTGAGTCACCATGTGCCCCTGTGGAGGGTCTACTTACAAGCTTACTCCTAAGGCTCTTGTAAGAGGTCTCCATTCCCTGCCATGTGGGCCTCTACCAGTAGGGTGGCTCACAGCACAGTAGCAGGTTTCCTGGAGTGTGAGTAACTTAAGACCAAGAGAACACACTCAACATGCAAGACATGGTGTCATTCTTTTACAACCTAATCTTGGGAATGAAAACCTATTACTTTCCCCGTTTCCTGTTGTCCCACAGATCAACCCTGATTTAGTGTAGGAGGGATCTACACATGGATGTGCTTACCAAGAGGCAGGGATCATTGGGGGTCAGTTTGGAGCCTGCCCACCACCACCACCAGGATTCTTTCTCCCTGGGGCAGACACTATCCCAGTCTTTCTTGGTGAGTGGTTCTTTCTTCCTGTTCTGTGTGATTTGGTGGGACTGACCCTACCACTGCCTAACTGGTCTCCAGAGTAGGGCAGGTAATCCAGGTCTGGATAGTCAGCTTGTTCTATTTCTTGGTCACTGTGATTGGA